TTGTCTGCTATGAGGATGAGAAACAGCAGAGGTGCCAGGACAGTGCCTTGGGGCACTGAGCAGGATATGCACGTGCACACACACGCACACACACACACACACACACACACACACACGGGATATGATAACGACATCTAAAATACTTCATGTTATTGTGATTTGTCAATGGTCCAAGCAGGACCGAAATATGATCCTAAGCTTCTTTCTCCTATATACAGATTATTCGTGTACCTGTACTTTACATCATAACCCAGCTTCACACCACATGGGCTAGCTGAAGTCAAGCGTGGCTATCCGTGAGGCAAGAAAATGCCTTGAATCAGCTCTAATTCAAACCACAGACACCACCACCACCAAGAGCCAAGAAGTTTCTAGTTGGAGGGACCTCTAGTTTATGTGCTTCTCAGCATACTACATTCCTCTCCTGCTATATACCTTTCTTACCATGTTCTCTCTGCAGACTTGAACAAGACTGGCTTCCATGCAAAACATCCCAATGTCTTCATCAATGAACAAGTTTATCAGAAATTATACAAATACTTTTTTAACCCCAGGATCCATATTAAACTCAATCTAGGTTAAACAATGCTCAAAAAAGCACACAAAAGTTTTTGCAAGAAATATAACATTCTCCCTGAAATTGAAGTTTTGAAGGAAGTTGCTCTTAAGATGAAAAATCTACCCCCACTCAAGGTGTCTCCCAGATGTGGAACATCACTGTTACATGAGGTACTGCATACAAGATTTGCCAAGATGTAAGGATTTTGTTTTATAGAAGAGGCAGATAGAACTATTTTAAGCATGACAAGGCAACCTCATTTTGAAGTTAAAGTCAGAATGAACATTTAAAATCCATACTGTCTTGATGTAATGGTTCTTAGCACAGGCAAACTTCTCCAGCAGTGTTACATTCAAATGAGGAAATAAAGGTGTACAAAGTAATTATAGGATTAAGGTAGAGGGTTAGGATAAGTAAGCATACATCTCTCCATTGACAGAAGTCTCATTGAAAATCATGTTATCCATAGCTAGGTAATAAGGAAGGAGAAATATGTTAAACACTTTGCTAAAATGTAGTACAGTAATTACAATCTCATTCTTAAGAATCAGGAGGTGGTCCAGGACAAATAAGATGCACAATAAAACAGTCCCTTAATGCCAGAAAAAAGTATTTGGTTAAAATAACGTGGAAGCAGAACACAAGATGACAAGATAATAAAAAGGAACAGGAAAAAAAAAGGGGGGGGGGAAGGGATGAAAGTGAAAGAAGGCCACACAACCTGGTATCTTCTGGATATTATTTTTACCTTAAATGTTCGATATCTATTTAGCACAATTATCTTTATTAATAATACCAAAATTATGAACTTAAAATCACTGCCTGCAATAAACACTATATTCAGACTGAACAAGTAGCTCTTGTGCAATGCAAAAAAAAAAAAAAAAAAACACACACACACACACACACACACATACACAGTTGTGATGTTTTCAGGTACACAACTTCTGCAGTGTACAATACAGCTAACAAAATAAAATGCAAAGAATTTAAAAAACTAGGCTGTTGTTTAAAGCACAAAGTCACCTGAAGGGGTTAGTAGTAGATGGGGAATCTTTCTTTTCCTCAGAAATCTCTGGTTTCCTGTAAATTCATAAAGTCAAAGAAATCCTTTTCAACCTTGATGATTAAATAAATACCAATATATCTTGAAATATACAGAGAGAAAAACTGATTATGCAAGTGGGAATTGTAACAATCATATATACGTCGTGCCTAATAGACCAAGTCGTGGACCAAATTGAAGCGTCTTAAAAATTAAGCTTTCTAACATTTTTCTGTCATGCACTGAAAACTTTATAAATTAATAATAAATGAAAATTTGATTTTTGCACCAAAACTTACAAATTTTAATCTTGCTAAAATAAACCTAAAACTTAATTGTATACAACCTAAGGTGCCTAAACTTACTTTAAACTATTTAACCCTCTCAGTGGCCATTCCATACAATTACATAGAGGCCAAGGTCCTATCACATAGTGCTATGTTATGAGCTCAGCCCACTCAGATAAGATGTAAGCAGTAAATTTTGGCCTAGATATGAATGCTTCTGTGCAGTGAGCATGCACACTATAAAAATCCTGCCCCACTTGGTGCATGATGGTAAAAACAAAACTTGACTAAGGGTTTGATTTAAAATAGCAACTGAGTTTCCTAGGATGTCTTTTATATATATTTTTTTTTTTTTTTTTTTTTTTGGTATTTAATAGAATGGAAGATATACCACTGAAAGAGGAATTTGGTTGGTTGCAGGACTGAAAGTAACTTGAAACTGGACTCCAAGTAGCAGAAATATTCAATGTTTGCTGATTTTTCCTAAGGATGGGTAAGGCCTCCTCCCTACACTCCCCAGTCTATTTCATGGGTTTATAATAGGTCTGATTTAATTATTGGAACACCGTAAACTATGACCAATCATTCCCAGTTATATTTTATTAATGGTAAATAGAGTAAATCTTCTATTTTTGTGTAATTATGAATTTAAAATGGAAGGCAAATGTAATAGAGAAGCCTGGGGGTGTCTTTAATGAACAGAGGAAATAATGTTTTAGTGCCAGGAATGTCTACAATGTTTATTTTGCACTCTTTTTAAACTTTTTTTTTTTTTAATTTTGTATAAAATTGGCCAAATCACCAACTTCTGTGCACTAAATTTATATAGTAATTTTAATAGCTGAATGGGTGGTTTTTTTTTTTTTGTACTCAAATGATAGAAAGCACATTAGCAAAATAGCTAAGAATATGGTCAAATATAGCAATGGAATTTACTTAAAATATGCCTCAAAACCGGCAAAATCGCCGATGCATAAATTCTACCTAGACTGCTAATTTTGCACCAGCATAATTCAAGTTTTCCATCAAATTTCGTATGTTTGGTGCCATTACCTTTAAAAAAAAAAAAAAAAAATCTTTAACATTCCATTTTTTTTTAAGTGGACACAGCAACATCAATACTGGGGGTCTGGACAGTTAATGGGCTAACAGTATAAAATACACGAGTTCCAGTGTTAATACAATAGAAGTAGTTTGCCAAATAAACAAAATTTACAGGTTCAGACTGATTTCTGTGGAGTTATGTGATAATTGTATAACAGAGCTATGGCACACAGAAATCTAGAGACACATCAAGGCACCATTCAAGGTATAGGACTTCACTTTTGCTAATAACAATGACTGCATAAGAGTAAATTTATATCACATGAAGGGAATTACTGGAAGAAATGGAAATAATCATATAAAAGCTAATTCACATAAACACTTATTTAAGAAAACAATGCTCACTGAATAAGCCAATCTGCAAGATCTGGCTATAAAGCACGACATATATATATATATATATATATAAAATATTAAATATACTGTATCATTGTATGTATATATATAATGCACAATACATTATATACATACAGTAAACCATCCATATAATGGACTAATAAAGGGGATTGCTTGAGCATCCATTAAATGTTAAAAAACTAGCAAAAAACAAGTCAGGTACACTACTGTATACCTAAAATATTGATGAATACACAAATTAGTTATATGAATACACAAATTAGTTATATTACAATATATACTGAAATTAAAGGAGTAAAAAGTGCAATTTACACAGCAGATTTGACCCATTATTTTAAATGGCCTTGATATCGAGGGGTTACTGTACATGCGTGTGAATGTACATATATAAAACATACTTATGCATATATACATGTAAATATACATACATACATATACATATATATATACATACATATATACGTGTATATGCACATACTGTACAGATACACCTATGTTCCTAAAACTAAGTTTAACACGTACTACAAAATAATAATAATGATAGTGCTCATGCTGTTAATATTTTAAAAATATTAAGTGCTTGAAAAATCAGTGATTTTTTTTAGTGAAGAATAATAAAACATTGATGATTAAAACACTCTGAACATTTATTGTACTACATTATATTATTGTCATGCATCTTAATATATTAAAAGATCAAAACAATTCTTAAAAATAAAAATTTGGTTAAAAAAATATTCACCACCCTAAGGGACATTAATAATTTATTTAAATATTCATCTAGTTTACCTTAACATGATAATGGACCTCAATATAAATTCTAATTCATCAAGAAGTACTTTGTGAATTTCCATTTGTCTGTCAACACTTCTTGAGTAACAACATGTTAACCATTTTACCTGAAGGGATTAGTAGATGAGGGAGGCTGGGAAGTGACTGGTTGACTGTGATCCCCCATGGCTTTGCCTCCATTCTCCAACTCATCATCACTTAGGTCCTCCTGTAATCAAGTTATTTATGCTCCTTTTAGGTTTTGAATGATGCACTTGTACCCACTTAATAAGAGCCTAAAACAACTCAATTATCTGACTTGAGCTCATAAATATGTATTTTTAAAAATAAAACTGCAAAAAAGTACAATGTGTTAACTCTATATCACAACTTGTGGCTACTTTTTTGAAGGCCACCCTACCTTGGTCAGAAAATAATGAGTTTTAAAATCTAGGTTACCTGTATATCCATTCTTCCAGTTATTCCACAAATGGAAATCTTTGATGTGATTTAAATCCTGCCTAACAGTACAGTAACAACAATGTTTTAACAAACTGGTAATTAAAATCAATGTGCAAATGTGTATCATTTTAGTTTTTGCTTTTCTTACAGCATATTCAAAGTAATTTTGACTATGTGCTAAGCTTTATTAAGATGTTGTATTTCCTTTCAAGATATTTAATTTGAATAAATGATATAATTATCTTCGTAGTCTAAGTGCATGTAAGTGTCAAGTATTAAAGGCACTACCACTGCACAATGCCTACAGCGGCTGCTTCAAATTATTTTGGATATTTCTGATACTTCATCTCATCTCTGAAAACTACCCATGGCATCCAAGAGGAATATTAGTGATACTAGAGGTGCCAAGAAGAATAAGTATGAATACCATGACAAAAGTATTAATTGTAAATATGATGAGGTGCTGCACATGTGATGAGACTGCCCATACTTTCAGTCTCTAAGAATCTGCCATCCATACAATTAAGAAATAAGAATACGAGCTGCAATGAGTAGCGGAGACTGACCAGGTGAAAAGAAATGTCAAAAAGGTCAACAATACAAGGAAAATACACCCGAAATGCATTACACAATGTATAGTACTTGAGCACTCAAGTACAATTACTAACTCCTCTGCATCCAAATCAACAAGAACCACAGCCATCCGAAGCAGTCCAGAAGTGCCACATTAACCTTCTGTACACATTTCTATGTCAACAAGTAACGAATGTAAGGTAAGTGACTATTTTCAAAAAAAACTTTTTCTAAAAGTTCTCAGTAAATTTGGAAGTGTCAGGAATGTAAATGAATTTTCCCTGCTTGTTCTTCACTTCAAGTACCTTACCTTTGATATACCTTTGAAGAATTTCCAGAGTATATCTACTCTCTGAGCCCGGCCATGGGTCAGGCTCGTCTGGTGCTTGCCTGGTCAACCAGGCTGTTGCTGCTGGAGGCCCGCTGCCCCACATATCCATCACACCCTGGTTGATCTGGCACCTGGTGAAGATACTTGTCCAGTTTCCTCTTGAAGGCTTCTACACTTGTTCCAGCAGTGTTTCTGATATCTTCTGGTAAGATGTTGAAAAGTCTGGGACCCCGGATGTTGATACAGTGTTCCCTTCTTGTCCCCACTGCACCCCTGCTCCTCACTGGGTTTATTTTAAACTTCCTCCCATATCTCTCACTCCAGCATGTTATGGCAGTGTGCAGATTTGGGACCAAGCCCTCGAGTACCTTCCAGGGATATATCATGTACCTCTCTCTTCTCCACTCCAATGAGTACATGTTCAAGACTTGCAGGCATTCCCAGTAGTTTAGGTGCTTTACTGGCTCACTGTGAGCCATAAACGATCTCTATTTGTTCCAGCTCCGATATTTCTCCTGCCTTGAACGGGGCCGTTAGCACTGAGGGAGCACTAGCGATTTGAAGAGTGTCACCATTGACATCATTTCCCTTGTTTTGAAAGTTCTCAATACCCACCCAGTCATCTTCCTGACTGTCATGATCTTTGTCTTGTTATGGTCTCTAAAAGAAAGGTCCGTTGACATAATTATTCCTAGGTCTTTTATGTGTTCCTTACGTTCTATTTGGTGACCCTCTTGAGTTTTGTATATAGTGCTCCTTTTGAGCTCTTCATTCTTTCCATACCTAAGCAGCTGGAACTTATCACCATTGAACGTCATGTTGTTTTCCACTGCCCACTGGAAAAGACTGTTTATGTCTTCCTATACTTTTTCAGTGTCCTCTACTGTACTGACTTTCATGCTTATTTTAGTGTCATCTGCAAATGATGATACAAAAGTGTGCCGGGTGTTTTTGTCTATGTCTGCTATAAGGATGAGGAACAGCAGAGGTGCCAGGACAGTGGCTTGGGGCACTGAGCTTTTGACCTCGCTGATGCTGGATCTTGCCCTGTTCACTACTACGTTTTGTGTTCTGTGTGTTAGGAAACCGAAAATCCATCTGCCTAACTTCCCTGTAATGTCCATGGCCTTCATTTTGTGCGCTATCACTCCATGATCGCATTTGTCAAACGCCTTTGCAAAATCTGTGTAAATCACATCTGCGTTTTGGTCCTCTTCCAGTGCCTCCGTAATTCTGTCATAATGGTTCAGCAGCTGTGACAGACATGATCGTCTTGCTCTAAAACCATGCTGGTACGGGTTATGTTGGTTGTGCTGGTCCATGAAATTTGTAACCTGCCGTCTCATCACTCTTTCGAAGATTTTTATGATGTGAGTGGCTAGGGCTACTGGTCTGTAATTTTTAGCTAGTGCTCTACTACCTCCCTTGTGCAAAGGAGCTATGTCTGCACTCTTTAAGGCCTCGGGTATTTCACCTAGATCTAAGCTCTTTCTCCAAAGAATACTGAGGGCTCGTGCTAGTAGTACTTTGCACTTCTTTATAAACAGAGCATTTCATGAATCTGGTCCAGGTGCTGAGTGAATGGGCATGTTTTCCATTTCTTTTTCGAAATCTATGGGATTTGTAATAATGTCAGTTAGGTGGTCTGTGTGGCCTTCTTCTGAAGTGAAAAATATTTCTGCATTTTCTACCTTGCTGTCATTTAGTTGGTTGCTGAACACCGACTCATACTGTTCTTTTAGGATTTCACTCATTTCCTGTTCGTCGTCAGTATACGAGTCTCATCTCAGTAGTGGTCCAATTCTACAGGTAGTTCTTAGCTTGGATTTTGCATAGGAATAGAAATATTTTGGGTTCCTTGCAATATCCTGCATGGCCTTTTGTTCCCTTTGTACTTCTTCTGTGAGGTATGACATCCTAAGTTTTTGCTCTAATTCAGTGATCTCTCTGCTAAGTCTATCTTTCCTCTGTTGTAGTATATTTGTGTTTTTAAGCAGTTCAGTAACCTGTTTTCTTCTTCTGTACCATCTCCTACGCTCGCTCTCTATCTGATCTTCCTCTGGGTTTCCTCAATGGTACGTGTTTCATACATACTTTGTATGCTTCTGTATTCAGCTTCTCTAGACACTGCTGGGGATTTAGGGTGCTCATGTCTGATTCCCAGGGTACGTCTGATAGCTCTTGGTTTATTTTTTCCCAGTTAATTCTATGGTTGTTAAAATTAAACTTACTGAACATCCTGTCTCTAACTTTAGTGATGCAGTTTCCTACCCCTGAGTTAGTACTAGTTTGAACCTCTATGATGTTATGATCAGGGTAAATAGTTTTGGAAACTCAAGTCTCTGATCAGTTCCTCGTTGTTTGTGAATATCAGAACCAGGGTATTTTCATTTCTAGTGGGATCAATTACCTGTTGGTTTAAAGAGTACTTTTCACAAAACCTCATTATTTCCCTGGTATGTACCTGTTGAGCCAGGGTGCTTCCCGGAGATATTTCTGGTATAACATTATGCTGCGTCATCTTCCATTTTACATGAGGGAGATTAAAATCTCCAAGGAGTAAAATATTTGGTGTAGGATTTTCTAGCCTATGTAGATAGCTATCTATCTTACTTAACTGATCTGTGAATTCCGCAGCAGTTGCCGATGGTGGTTTGTATACTAGGATAATTACCAAATCCCTATTTTCAACTTTAATGCCTAGAATTTCTACTATATCATTTGTAGAATTCAGCACTTCTGTGCAACAGAAAGTATTCTTTACATAGATTCCTACTCCTCCCTGTGACCTATTGATTCTATCACATCTATACATGTTGTAGTTTTCTATCTTTATCTCTCCGTCCAAAACATCCCTTGTATGTGTTTCTGTAAATGCTCCGAATATGGCATTCGCTTCTGTTAGGAGCCCACTGACATAACTAACTTTGTCATTTTTATTTGATTTCAAACCCTGTACATTTGCAAATATGAAGCAGGAATTACCAAGTGGGATGTTTTGTCTCCCTTTGTGTTTCAATAGTACCACTGGTATACTACCTGGTATGTCCCCTGGCGTACACGCCCCTAGTTTCTCCAGTATACTGGCTTCGTGTTTGTTTGCTTATTCGGCCTTGACGGGCTGATGCCTGGTTTGGTACGCCCCATTTTACTGCCCACCTGTTCTCTCTGTACCATTCCCCCTGTTTGTCTCTTGCTTTGTTTTGATCTTTTCTCTTTTTGTCTAAAAAAGAATGCTATTCAATTTCCCTTTCTCTGCTAACTCTGTAGCGCCGCGTTCCTTTTACATGATGGTCTGGGCAGCTCAGGTCATAACATTCTATGGACTGCGTTGAAGCTTTACACAATACAGCTTTTCAAGAACAAACCTGTGTAAATCAAGGGTTTGCTGTTTACTCTGAGCTATAACCTAATTTTCTGACAAAGTATAATTGTAAACCCTTGTAAATATTCACTAGAGATCTACTGCTGCTTTATTAAATTCCCGAGGAGTTATTAAATTCCTGGGGAAAGGAAGGTAATCAGGTTTCATTTGAGGAAAGAGAGTAACTACAAATCTTTGAATTTAAACCCCTTCAACATCAAAGTAGCTCTCCTGAAGGGAGTTCCTTGGTTGGTCCCTAGATTTCCACCTCATAGCAGTAAACCTGTTTTGTCTCTCAAACCTCCTAGAGAGCCTTGAGAACTTAAGATTTAACTTACCTTGCCAATTACTACATCTGACAGAACAACAGCCAATGTACAGGCTTAGAAAGATGAGAGAAATCTCACATACTGTATAAGTGTGGTATTTGTACTTGGCATCAATATGACCTGACATCCAATATGACCAACATGTAACCTGTGGCAACAAACTTCAAATC